CCCAGGAAAATGCAAGGAGGGGGCTTTAAAAAGCAAACCACTAGGTGTGGCCAATTATTTCCCAGGTAAGCATGAACCCAGGCTAAATTAAAACAACCTCAGTAACTTTTCACTCCCCTCTTCAGTCGCAGATATCAAAAAATCTACTAGGCCAGGAAGAGAACATAAATGAAACCTAAACAAACATCACCCTCTTTAGATTTACCAAATCAAGGTAGAAACAAGAACCAACAACCAAGATTTTCTCCTCCCCTTTCCAAAAGAGAATACCAAACTTTGGCCCTACAACAGAGAGTAGAAGGAACCACACACTTCATTTTGCTGAATTCTGTCCACAGTGAGGGAACAACTCACTCTCCTCTAAATCCTTCCAGCCAAACCAAATAACTGAGTGTTCAACTTTTAAAAGCCCATAAGCAATCAAAAGGGGCCATCAGCTAGGCTTTTACCTCCATTCTGAACTTCCCCTGTGTTCCTTTTAGGAGTTATCAAGAACCTCTCCCCAGTCTGCAAAATGAGCCGTTTTTAGCTTGCCAGATAAGCATGTAATCAGACAAAATAGAGAAGCACTGCCCACTTAAAGAGAGCCCTCCAAATTTACAAGCCCTCCCCCTTGTAAATTACATGTAAATATTTAATCAGAGCTATGAACAATGACTTAGATTTACCACTACTTAAGGCTGCAGGCACTGGTGACACTACCTTGCTTACTGTACTGGTTCTATTTAAGGTATCTAATTATTCCTACAGCTGTAGTCCTGTTCTCCAAAGACTTCACCCTGAAAAAGAGCAACGTGAGTGTATCTGCAGAGCATTATCTCCTCTCCTTCAATCAGATAATCTGAGTACCTTGCTACACTACCAAATTCCACAAACGACAACTTACCTTTCCTACCAGGTAAAAAAGGATGCATTTACTTTTACAAAAATAGGATGTAAAATAAAACCAGTTCTAACAATCTAACACATTTGCAATAACAAGAACATGTGATTTTCATTTTTTTAAAAATGTCTCTCATTAAATCTTCTGAACAAAGAAAACTAATAAATTATAAAAAGCAATTTCAAATCAAGCAATCCAGTTTGGGATTTCAGAGTTCAGCTTCTGAATTCATCTTCTTATGTGAAACACTACACAAAAGTGTCAGCTTTAGTCCTAAAAAGACACATTGTAACAGTACACAACAGAACCAAAAATTAAACAGAGTATCTAAAAAATGTTCCTACTTTTGTATGGCCTCAGCAAAGAGAGGCATACAAAAGCCACCAAAAATGGTGCCATCCCCCACTTCAAGCAAAAATCAATTGCAACAAACAAATGGACAGACTGTAGCACCCCACAGACAACAGAATGCTACTCAAGAAAAAAAAAAAGGTTGGGGTGGGGGAGAGGGCCAAAATGGACACTGAGCTGCTTATTAACACCAGCAGCATGAACTCCTTGGATCCATCTCAGAAACATGGGAAGGGGATGAAGCCAGGCCCAAAAAACTGTGCCATAGGCTGTATGTATTCAAGACCTTATGGAAACAGGAAACCATATATATATATGGCAATTACATCAGTGGTGCCAGGGGCTTGGGCTGGAGGTAGATGCTCTATGTCTTCACAGTACGTTTGTCAAATTCAAGCTATGATTCTTAAAAAGGTAATTATGCAGTATCCAAATTATACTCCAAGAAATAAGTTTTTAAAACTTTTTTTTTTATATTTTATTTGTCAGAGAAAGCACAAGCAGGGGAAGCAGCAGGCAGAGGGAGAAGGGGGCTCCCCGCTGAGCAAGAAGCCAGCTGTGGAACTGGGATCATGACCTGAGCCAAGGGCAGATGCTTATCTGACTGAGCCACCCAGGGCCCCCAAAACAAGTTTTAAGCATTATTCAAAATTGGATGAAGCCAAGAGCCAATCCAGACAATGCTGAAGACCCTCAAGCACTGATGATGTTCGAGTAATTTACTCAAGAGTCAAAATTTAAGAAACTCAGCTACATAAAATCAAAGTTGACCACTGGGGCACCATCTGTGTTTCCCCATTCTACCAGGCGTAGATTGAGTTCCTCCTTCCCTAAAATCAACATTCTATTCACCAGTTTCACTTTATGTTTTCAAACTACTATCCCAAAAAACTGCAAATTCCACCCAAGACATCTCACAATAAATTATTTCTCCTATAGAATGCTACCATCGTTTGCACATTCTTACGCAAAAGAATCTGAGAAGTCGCTCCACAGCCTGTTTTAACCTGTTCTGATCATTTTGAAATGCACAAAGTCCATTACTGTTATGCGCAGCCTCTCCAAGTTTGAAAGCATTTAATTACATTTTTACTAAGATTAACAGTCAAATTCACATCCTTTCTCCATAGAAACCTTGCCCCAAAGAAGTATCAAATCCAAATTTCCAAAACTTCAAAATCATTAAGACACAAAATCGAAAGCCATGGTTACTGAGCACAATGAACAAGAACATTCACTGACATAACTTCATGTCAAGGGGAGGGGAGAGGATTAGCTCCAGAAAGACGCTACCATCTATCAATGCAAACTCTGATCACACATTTCCTGCTAACACTATACACTCGGATACGCCGTAGTTTTGAAAGCAAGTATTTGAAGTTGCTAGGAAAGAGAAGTATGTTAATGTGCACGGTTTATTCCAATCAGCTAGTTTTCAACGGACTTAAATGCCACGAAAATAACCTTGGTCTAAACCGCCTAACTCAAAGACTCTTCTGGGAGGTGTTCACCTCTCTGTGGCACCAAAAACCCCCTTCTTCCCTGGGTGCCCTCTCCAGTGAGAAGAAACACGCCTCACTCGTCTCCCAGCTCAGGGCTTCTCAACCTCCGCACTACTGGCATTTGGGGCGGGGAAGCCTGCCTTGTGCAAGGCCGGATTTTCAGCAGCCCCCTCTTCGGGATGACATTCAAAACTGCCCCCAGTGTCAAACGTGCCCGGGGGGAGGTCGGGGTCAAACGCCCCGACCGAGATGCAGGATCTAGCTAGACCACCCCGGGAGTTCTCAACCAACGAAGTTTCCGGGGCACTTGGTGGCTGGACTCCGCAGCAGCAAAGGCTCCGGCAGTCTGAATCCGGAAAAGGGCGTCTAATACGCTCGCGGCGCAAGGCTCAAACCCTGACGCAGGCTGCCCTTCCTCTTAGCCGACAATGCAGCAAGGTTATCTTTACCTTTGTAGAGATTGGTGACGGCGGTGGCTGCGTTTTGGAAGGGGACCCAGAGAGAAAGTCCTGGTTGCTGACACACTCGGTCTGAAAAAGCGGGGAGGGAGGGGAAAAAAAAAAAAAAAAACACAAAAGACACAGAAAGAGAGACAGAGACAGAAAGATATGTTATTTGGGCGTCAATCACTCCGGAACGGCCATATTAGGTTTCGCCATTTTGTTCCAGGGCTTCAGGATCCCACTCTCAAGTGCGAGGACTGCAGAAAGGGGGTCGCGACGGGGGCCAGGGCGAGCCACGAGGCCCAGAGGCGCAGCCCCAGGACCGACCGCGGCCGATGGAAGCGCCCCCTCCCAGTCTCCGCCCCGAGGCCCGCTCCGGGCACAATGGGCCGGCCTCGCCGCCTCACTTCGCCATTTTGTGACCGGGGGCCCCTCCCCTGTCCTCCCGGCCCGGGGGCGCCGGCAGCCGGGCCCCAGCAGCGGGCGGGCCCCCGAGAGCGGCCCCAAACGGGGGCGCCCCCAGCGCCAGCCCCCCCGCTCGGCCGCGGCTGCCCGCCGGGCCCGCCCCCCGCGCCGCCATCTTGTGGGGAGGGGGCGGCGGGGCGGCTGTGGCGCGGAGGCCCGGCCCGACCCGGCCCGGCGGGCGGGTGGGCGGACGGCCGCCCTCGGGGCTCCCCGCCGACCCGCAGACCCCGAGGCGGCGTCGGCAGCGGGGCGGCGACAGCGGCAAGATGGCGGCGGCGGGCCTCACCTTTGTAGAGCTGAGCCACGGCGGTGGCCGAGTTCTGGAAGAGGTGCCACAGCTTCTGCTGCTTGTGCTCGGGCTGCGCGGCGGCCGCCGCTTCCTCCTGCAGCTCGGGGGACAGCTGCTCGTCCTGCTCGGCCTCAGCCAGGCACTGCCGCTCCCACTTGGAGAACCAGTGTTCCGGCCCGTGCTCCTGGATCTCGGCCTCGCCCTCCTCCTTCCGCTCCTCCATCCTCCGCGGCCTCCCGCGGCCTCGCCGCCGCCGCCGCCGCGTCCTCCTCAGGCGGGGCCCCCGCGGGAGCGTCGTCGTCGAGCGGCCCGGCGGCGGGGCCCAGCGGCCGGCGGCAGCTCCTCGCGGCGGCCCAGGCCTCCTGCACCCCGACGGCCTGCGAGACCCGCCCCGCGGCCCCGCGCTGTCCGGGACGACCCCCGCCCCGGGCCTCCCCACCCCCGGGCCCCGCCGAAGGTCGCCGCGGCCTGGACGACCGCCGCCGCCCCTCGCCTCTTCGGCCCGAGCCCGTCTATCGCCTGCCCATGGCGCCGCGGCCCCCCTAGGGCCGCCGCCGCTGACCGCCGAACCCTCCGCGCAACACGGCCTGCACCGCCGAGCCCACCCCGAACACTGAAGAACGTCGTCGTCGCTACCACCGTCGACGCCTCTGCGGCTGCTGGTCCCCGCCCTCCCCCGCCCACATGCTGACTGGTGAAGCACCGCCCACTCGGCCTCGGTTCCCCTGCCCGGTTGGGGCGCGCCCGCTCCGAGCGCCCTCATTGGTCCGATCCGACCGGTTTCTCGTGCCGGCCTCTGGACGCAGCACCATGATTGGCTCACCGTCCTGTCTGCCTGACGTAACCAATGGGCGGGGGAAGGGAGCGTGTGTCAGGAAGGATGGAAGAGGAGGAAAAGGAGGGGGAGGAGCTGACAGTGGTTGCGTCCAAACCAACGGGGGGAGCGGGGGGGGGGGGGGGGAAAAAGAGGCCCGCTTGCTCCCTCCTCCGCCCCCCGGCGGGGCGTCGAGCGAGAGTCACGTGACTCGACCCAGCGACCGCGCCCCGCGGGGGTTTTTTAGGCACTTCCCGGCCTCAGGGGACGCAAAATTAAGTCGGGCCACCGCCCGCCGGGGACGCTGGGTGTCTGGGGTGGCAGTCCGCTTGCTCCAGCCCCTTGGGCTCCAAAGTGGGTAGGGACGTAGAGAAAGAATAAAACGTCCAAGTTGGCAGAGTGCGCCCCCCCATCTGTTTATTTCAGAGTCCCATTTCTCGGATGGGCAAGTTGGGCTTCCGAGCCCCAAGAAAAAACTTGCAAGTGGCGAGGCTAGCAGGCCCTTCCTGCGGCCCAGTGCCCTTCGGGGACAGCGTCCTGTGACGCGCCCGCCGCGGCCGCCAGCCCGCCCGAGAAGCCGCCAGCGAACCGGAGCGCAGGACGGGACACCCCGGCCAGGGTGGCGGCCCCGCACCTGTCCCGGGGAGCACACTCAGGGGCCACGTGTGGCCGCCTGCGTCACGTGCCAACCCCCACCTCCCCCGGCCAGAACCCGCGTGGCCGCGCGGGGTGGGCCGCCCGACCTCCTGTTAACCTGCGCCGCGAGGCGTCCCCGTCACCCCTGCCTGCGGCTCCAGCCCCTGGAGGAAGCGGCCACGCAAACGAGCCGTGACCGCACAGAGGCAAAACCGACCCTCCAGATGTTGGTGGCAAGGACAGGAGCCACCAGGGCGTGCAGAAGCCGGCCAGGGCACCACCCCTCAGGAGCTGCCACAGCGCGCTCCTGCAAAGTAAGGTGGCTTTACAGCCGTCACTTCTGGACTAAAAGCTGATCTCTTCATTACGACCTACCAGTCCCTGCAGGATCTGGGCCCGCGTCCTCTGTTCATCTCACGCTGTCCTCTGCTTGGCTTGTGCTGCCCAGTCACACTGGCCTTCTTGCTGTTTCCCCAGGACACCAAGCTCTTCTCTGCCCCAGGGCCTTTACCTTAACAGTACTCTGTCTGGAATCTTCCTCCTCCTCAATTCTCAAGGCTCTGCTCAAATGGCCTGTAAGCACAGAGCCCTTGTCATACCGGCCTTGTTAAAAGTAGAGGTTCCACACGCCTATTGCCTGGTTTTATTTTTTCATACCCTGCATCACTGCCTGAAATGATCCTACTATTGATGTGTTTACTTACAGGTCTCTTGTCACCAAAAAGTAACTTTTCGGAGGGGAGAATCTTGGCAGTCTTGTTCCTGGTTGAATCTTTAAAAGATTGGTAAGTGGGGTGTAGGAAGAAAGGGGGTTAGAGGCCACCATAGAAAGGACGTGCCAGGCAAAAGTAGGGGTCATAGGGGAACCCCCAGTTCTTCAGGCAACCAGAGTGGGAGCACCAGGCTGGTGTACTTTGTCCATCCAGTATCAGAGGCACACAGCCTAGGGTTTACCTATTTTGTACAAGACTACAAAAACAATCTATTGACTATCATATGAAAAGAAATTTTTTTTCAGGGGCGCCTGGGTGGCTCAGTCCCTTAAGTGTTTGCCTGTTGCTCAGGCCATGATCTCCAGGACCTGGGATCAGCCCCGCATTGGGCTCCCTGCTCAGCGGGGAGCCTCCTTCTCTCCCTCTGCCCCTCTGCCCTGTTTGTGCTCTCTCTCTCTCAAATAAATAAATCTTTAAAATCTCAAGTAAATTTTAAAAATCTTTTTAAAAAAATTTTTTTTCTTTTTTTTTTAAGAATTTATTTATTTGAGAGAAAATGAGAGCTAGCACGAGAGGGAAGAGGGTCAGAGGGAGAAGCAGACTCCCTGCTGAGCAGGGAGCCTGATGTGGGACTTGATCCCGGGACTCCAGGATCATGACCTGAGCCGAAGGCAGTCGCTCAACCAACTGAGCCACCCAGGCGCCCAAAAAAAGAAAATTTTGAATAACGATTACAATAGAAAAACATCTGAAAATCTGTTGCTTTTATGGCAAAAAAAAAAAAAGTTTTAATCTGAGTGCATTTTCATAGAGATTTTTCTGAGACCTGCCGTGGTCTTAAATGAGTCTCTCTCCTTCTCCCTCTCTCTCTCCCCCTGTTCCCTACCCCCAAGAAACACACACACACACACACACACACACACACACACAAAGATGGCTGGACACCAGGCTACTGGTCAGTTTCATTCTAAACTGCCCTTTATAAAACCTAAGCAACGTTATTACACATCGATACCTAATGGATGCTCATAGTCAACCTGCAAGAGCTGAAGGATGTACTTATCAGTGGCCACTGTGAAAAGCAACATGTCTTGAGGGCAGAAAGTAAGATGTGTAAGGAGTATAAAAGGTTACTTCCCAGTGGTGGGAATCACGGAGGGCTTCCTGGGGTAGGAAGCATTTTTTGCTAGGCCGTGAAGCACAGACAAGGTTCCTGGAAGGATGAGGCCCCTCAGAACAGAGGGACGCGTGGATTCAAAGGCACAGAGGTGGAAAAGGCTAAAAGAACCAGGAATTGGCAGCTCTTTCTGCCCATAGGTCCTGTCCCCATGCTATAATAAAACCACCCTTTTTGCACCCCCCAAAAAAAGAACCAGGAATAATCTCATTTGACTTAACATTTTCTTTCTGTTGATGAGATAGTACCATCTAGTTTGGCTTTCTTTTTTTTTTTTTAAGATTTTATTTATTCATTTGCGAGAGAGACAGAGAACAAGCATGGGGAGAGGCAGAGGGAGAGGGAGAAGCAGACGCCCCGCCGAACAAGGAGCCCGATGCGGGACTCAATCCCAGGACCCTGGGATCATGACCTGAGCCGAAGGCAGACGCTTAACCATCTTGAGCCACCCAGGCGCCCTAGTTTGGCTTTCTAAATTTTATAAGCACTTCCTATCTGAGTGACCTTGGGCAAATTACTATGATTCTTTGAGCATCATAAATGGAGTTGGTAATAGAAACTCCTTGGGTTTGTTTTCAGGATTAAATGAGAATAAATGAGAAAAAGACTGAGTGCCATACCAGTCCACAAAATGATTCAATAAAGACTACCACTCTAGGGGCCTGAGAAAGTGCTCCTACATTAGCCTCCAACCTTGGAATTGGAAGGCCTGGACAAGCAACAGCGCATATGACATCTCTCAGCTAAGCTCTGGAAACTTCACATCCATTTGAAGTAATTAGCGTTTGATGACTCAAGAAAATGTGGGTTAATGTATACTTTCTTTTTTCTTTTTTTTAAATAGGCTCCACACCCAACGTGGGTCTGGAACTCACGACTCCGATCAAAAGTCACATGCTCCATGAACTGAGCCAGCCAGGTGTCCCTGTACTTTCATTTTTAACATCCTTCCAGACTTCTAAGTATGTATATGTAAATACTTTTATTTTGTTGTGGTTGTTAAAGATTTATTTATTTGAGAGAGAGAGAGAGAGACAGTGTACGCCAGCACGGGGAGGAGCAGAGGGAGAGGGAGAGAGAATCCTCAAGCAGACTCCCCACTGAGTGCAGAGCCCAATGCAGGCCAATCCCAGGACCCCGAGATCATGATCCCAGCTGAAATCAACAGTTGAACGCCCAACCAACTGAGGCACCCAGGCACCCCACGTAAACACTTTTAACCATAAAAGATGTATTACACAGCGTGTTAGGAAACTGAGCTTTTATTTTCCATTTTATAATAGATCTTGGACATCTTTTCTATTTCCACAACACACAGTTAGGGTTATAGCTTCTGAGTTTTGCATCAGGCTTAGGAAGGCTTTCCACACTCCAAGATTATTTGTTAACACAACTGAATTAAAACTGAAATGGCAGCCCATCTTTTTCCTCCCCTACTGCACAGAAATGTCAAGAGAATGCATGATGCCAACAGCTTCTCATGATATATAATGCATGCATTCATCACAGTAAGGAGTATAAGTGGCCTCACAGAGTAACTGCTGCCAGAAAAGGCCAAAGTTAGACTCAAGGGCATGAGTCAAAAGACATGAGAAAAGTCAAATAACATTGTGAGCACAAAAGGCCAATCAAAATAACAGAATAGAATCAGACATCTTTTATTTAACATTTAACAGCACATACGTTTATACAAGAGCAGTGTTTTTGTGTGTTTTAATATATGCCCCGTTCAAGTTTGGGACCAATGTTGACATACTAAATATACCCCCGTGCTGCATTCAGCTCCCTACTGAGGGTGAGATTCTTTGACTCTCCCTGTAGTCCTAGACTCCAAAGGTGGAGTGACTTGCTGGGAGTTGAGGGTGGACCCACCATGCCATCTCATAGTCTGCATGCACAGAAAACAACCATTTGCTCTTCTGTGAGGTGTGGGAAGGAGAGTGGGACCGATGTGTTCTGATCCTTTTTCATACCTTTCCTGGGGCACAAAAGGCAAGCTCATGATCAAATCTGCTCACAGCTCACCTTACTCGGTAAACTGAAGGGACGTGTTTCTCCCTAAACTCTTGTTTTCAATAGAAACACAGGAAACAAAATTAAGTTTTGAAGAAAGAGATTTTTATTTTTAATATTTAATTTATTTATTTGACAGAGAGAGACACAGCAAGAGAGGGAACACAAGCAGGTGGAATGGGAGAGGGAGAAGCAGGCCTCCCGCCAAGCAGGGAGCCCGATGTGGGGCTCAATGTGGGGCTCGATCCCAGGACCCTGGGATCATGACCTGAGCCAAAGGCAGGCGCTTAACAACTGAGCCACCCAGGAGCCCCCTGAAGAAAGAGATTTTTAACAAAAATTGGAAGCCTTGTATGTTCTCCCCGCTTTGGGATAAAACACAGCTTACCTTGGGCAAGCAAATTCTATGCATCTTAAAAAAGCAATAGAAAATACTGCTAGTCTGTTGTCTGTGACACAGAAAAAGTGTCCAAGAATCTAAGGCCTCATGCAGGAAATGGTGGATTCTCCAAAGGGTCTCTCCAAACTGAGCATAAAATGGGATTATATAAACATAACACAGCCGGCTAGCTCCCTTCCCAATATACATTCCACAGTTATTTTTTGCTAACAGAGCCTAAATTGTATTCAAGTGGGCAGTGTGCCCAGCTCAAGGACTACATTTCCCAGCCTCCTCTGCAAAGAAGGGAGGATGATGAAATAATAAGAGGAAGTCATTGGGTGGGGCTTCCAGGAAAGCTATTTAAAAGGAAGTGACTTAGCTTGGTTTCTTGCTCTTGCTACTTCCTCCTTCCTGGGGCCTGGAACTCAAATAAGATAGCCAGGGCTGCAGCAGCCATCTTTGACCATGAGGTAACCTTAAGGAAGGAAGCCATATGCAGAGAATGGTGGAAGCCATCTGCAGAGAAAGGAGGAAGTCTGATGAACTTGTGGATAACCTTAGACTACCTCTAAACTTTTTTTTTTTTTAGTAAGTGGAGGAAAAACCCTTTAGTTTATATAAGCAGCTGTGGTTAGGTCTCCACACCAACACCTAAACACAATTCATTACTCATTATAGCATGTAAAGCTCATAGTAATCTTCACACTGCTGCTAAATAAAGGTAATATTCTGTAGTTTGGGGAGATTTGAGGTTGCTGTTTGTGCTTTCTCTTTGCTCTTACCCACTTTTTATGAAACGTTTCCCCATTACAACAGTGTGTTCCTTGCAAGGCTGGTGTTCAGCCTGAAACTGAAGTTGCAAATTGTTGCTAGTTATGAAATAGTAGTCAGGTTAAGAATGATCTCTCCTTCTGACTGCTAGCTGAAGGGTGAATCATAGACAGTTAATGGATGTTCAGAAAGACTGCCCATGGCCTTCCCAACTTGCCACAGCTTTGCAGGTGGTGCTCAGGGCTGGGGCTGGAGGCACGCTCCAGCACAGCAGTGATATCACCGTGAAAGGAGCCTCACGATAGACTCTTTCTCAGGCCTCCCATTTCTGCCTGCTAAATGATTTCTTTTTTTTTTTAAGATTTTATTTATTTATTTGACAGAGAGATAGAGAGTACAAGTAAGCAGAGTGGCAGGCAGAGGGAAAGGGAGAAGCAGCCTCCCTGCTGAGCAGGGAGCCCGATGCGGGGCTCGATCCCAGGACCCTGGGATCATGACCTGAGCCGAAGGCAGACACTTAACCGACTGAGCCACCCAGGTGCCCCTGCTAAGTGATTCCTTGGTTTTCCTAAAATCTGTTTTAAAATGGCACAGCTCTGAAGACAAAAACAAAGGCTCGGGTCCATCTGCCAAGACAGGTGTCATGAGAAAACCAGTTTCTCACTGGGGCAAGATGTCTAGGCGATGGAGTCCCAGTGGCTGGCCACAGCCAGCATCCTGAAACAGTAATGCAGGCTCTCGAATTCAATCCACAGCTCTGCGATCCTCACGCAAATCTCTGGACGATCTCGTTCAAATGCCCAAGTCTGGTTCTGTGCGGCTAGGGTGGGCCCTCAGTAGCTGCATTTCTAACAAGCTCCCAACGATGCCGGTGCTCCTGGGGCACCGAGTGTGTCTTGAGCGGGAAGGCACTTGCTGGCTCTTCTCACAATACAGTCCCAGTCTCTGTTGGGCACCTTCTTGTCATTCAGATCTCAGTTCACATGTCACTTCCTCTGAGCAGCCCTCCTTGACCAGCCAGTCCATAGCAGAGTCTCCGGGCCCCCATGCTTTTCTACTTCACCCAAATTTCACCTGCACCTCATGGGCCTGCCTATGCCCCGAATGTTTATATGCATCACCCCCCCACCCCAAACTCCCATAAGATCATGTCAACTGATTCTCTGAATCACAAATTTAGAATTTGGGTTGAGACCAGAAATTAGGAGTGGAGTCATATTAATGGCTAGGTTGTTCTATTCCTCCTTGGAGGATATAACCCTAGCCCAGGAGCCATGCCCTCAAATTCATTTCCTAGCAAGCTGGAGCTTCTTGGTTTCTAATATATGCATGATCCCAGTACACTACCATTAACCTTTTGGCATTTTTCCTTCCAGTCTTTTATATTAATGTAATTATTTCCAGTGGTGTGCTGGAGCTGGCTCCGAGCTTAGAAAGCCAGTTGTGTCCATCTATCGAACTCCTCCTCTGCTGACATCATGAAGTAACTTGAAATCAGCCACGGTGGGCACATTTACGCCATGGAAATGCTACAAATGAGAGATTTTCGGTTTCAGGGAGTTGGTTGTTATTTTTTTTTTTTAAGATTTTATTTATCTGACAGAGAGCACCGAGGGGGAGGGAGAAGCAGACTCTCCCCTGAGCAGGGAGCCCGATGCGGGGCTCGACCCCAGGACCCCAAGATCATGACCCGCGCTGAAGGCAGATGCTTAACTGAGCCACCCAGGTGCCCCCAGAGAGTCTGTTGCTAACAGCCTACCAGTACACCACTGATTTAACTTACACGACATCAGGTTTCTCCAGTCATGTATCCCAACTAGTTAACACTCTCCTAAAGTGCACCAGGAGCTTACGTCCTAGTAAATGGAGACAGATGATATATAAGTAAACACATAAACAAGAAAATTTTAGGAAGCAGACGGTATGAAGAAAATGAACAAAACCACTGATATGTTGAATGTACTCCTTTTATCTCTCCCCCTCACATATCAAAAACAGTTGCTCAAGTTTTAAAAAGGTCTCAGGAGCGTTCTTCCTGGTGGCTGCATAATATTTATCCCTTCTGATAATAATCTAATTTATTTATGCATTCCTCGGCACTTAAGGGTTTCTCAGCCTTGGCACGGTTGATATTCTGGGTCAAATAATTCTTGGGTGGGGGGACTGTCTCATGCATTGTAGGATGTTGAGCGGCATCCCTGGCTTTTTTCCCAATAGATGCCAGTAGCAGTAGTGCCCACTATCCCAGTTAGGGCAACCAAAAATGTCTCCAGATTTTGTCCCCTGGTGGGCAAAATCACCCCGGTGGAAGATCACTGCCTTAGCTGGACTTTATATCGACAAATAAATGCTTAAATAAAAAAAACAAACAAGGAAGCGGGTCTCAGAGAGTGACTCCAGTAGTAGCCGTGCTGACCGGGAACTGGTTAGAAATGAAGATTCTCAGGCACCTGTCCAGACACCTGACATCAGAATCTCCTGGGTGGGACCAGTCAGTCCATGCTTTAACAAGCCTTTCCGGGGATTCTGATGCATGATGCAGTTTGACAGGGGGCCAGGGATGAAGGTTTTTAGAAATCACAATAGAGTTTGGTGGCTTTGTACTGCAATGTGTGGTTGTGGTTGCATCATGATGTGTGTGTGTGTGTGTGTGTGTGTGTGTGTGTGTGTGTGTCCTGCCTACGCATCTTTGGCTAGTATAGGTGATTAGAGCAAATTAACTGAGTTCAGGTGTACTTTGGACTTAAGTACCACCTTTCAGCTCAGGATTACCAAACACCACTTATTTTTACCCCA